CAGGGCGGGCCAGGCCTGGGGGCCGCCATGTTGGGAGTGGCGGAACAGGCAGGTCCCAAAGTGAGGGGCCTGGAACAAAGGAAGGCTCAGTGAAGGGGCTGAGGGGCTCAGACCCTAAACTGACGAGCCTGGAACAAAGGAATGCTCCAGTGAAGGGGCTGGGGCGGCTCAGACCCTAAACTGAGGAGCCTGGAACAAAGGAATGCTCCAGTGAAGGGGCTCGGGGGGGCTCAGACCCCATATTGAGGTGTCAGAAACAAAAGAATGCTCCAGTGAAGAGGCTGGGGGGGGGGCTCAGACCACAAACTGAGGGGCCTCAGAGGGGAGTCAGACCCTGACAGGGTTTAGACCCCAAACTAAGGTGCCCCGTTGGGCTTTAAAGAGGGCGAGACCCCAAAATCCAGAGTTATGGCAACACTCAGAAATTCTGGCAGCACCCAATCCAACCCCAAGGTGACCAAAGGGAGATTCCAGCCCTGCCCTTGAAACCGAACAAACCACCCACAACCACAAGCACTTCATTTTTCCTAATAGTTTAATTAGACTTTAATGATTTATTGCTCATCTGCAAGGATTAATATTGCATTCATTAAAAATCATTCCTATACAAAATAAACCTCTTGCTCCCGGCCCCGCCGCTGCCGCCGCCGTCGCCCCCGGGCTCCCCCAGCATGGCTTATACAGACACAGAGCCCTTGGCCGAGATTCCACCCGGGATGGGTGGGAATGGGGACCCCCGGGCGTGGGGGGCTCACAAGGAAGGGGGGATGTCCCCCCCCTTCCCACAAACGCCCATCCCAGCTCGCTAAGCTGTCCCCAGGGAGGTCTGGGGGATGGTGGAAGGGACCCAGGGGATTCCTGGGATCTGCTGGGGAGCGAGGCAGGTGATCCCCAAAATCTATCCAGGAGGAGACCAGGCAGGGTGGGAGAGAGGAACAGTCAGAGGATGTGGAGGGGGATGATCTCAGCACCTCTCCCATCCCCTGGCGCCCCAAGGAATTCTGCACACCCCAAAACCTGCAAATTCCCTGGGAAGGAGCCGTCCAGGTGGATCCCTGCAAAGGGGGGAAGGAGCAGCTCCACCACCCAGGAGGTGCCAGCAGCTCCTTCCCTGCCCTGGGTGGGGAAAGGAACAGGAGTCAGAGGAAACTCGGTGGGTTGAAGGAGCTGCCCACACCCCAGCAGAAGCTGGGAAAGGGAAATGTCAGCAGGGAGGGCATGGAGGAGGTGATGGGAGCATCCAGGACACACCAGGAGAGGGGGAGGATAACAGTGACAGGGAGCAGAGGGGCTGGGCTATGGGGAAGGCTCATCTCTGCATCCAGCTCAAAAAAAAAATAGTGAAACACCCCCAAAACCCACCCCAGACACCCTCAACACCACCAAGCACTTCCCAGTGGGAGATGGGAAGGCAGCCACGTCCCCAATGCTTCCTTTTTAAAACATCTAATAACAATCTCCACCCTCTAAAACATCTCTGTAAGGATCAAAAAGGAAAAGAGGAAGAAAAAAAAAACAAATAAACGGAAAAATATGTTTAAAACTCAATTAAGGTGCAGTTTGGCTAAAAAAAAAAAACCAACAACAACAACCAAAAAAAAAAAAAAAACCTAAGAGAGATGAGGATAATGCTGGGAAAGCGACCCCCATCCAGATTCAGATTAGCACCCTGAAACACTGAACTCCCCTGGACCCAGGTGGCCACCAAACCCAGGCCAGTGGCCACCAAACCTGGGCCACCTCAGCACAGGGACCTGGGCTTGGGCACAGTCACCCCCTTTGCCAGGTGTCCTGCAGGCCACTCTGCTCCCAGGGAACACCTGGAGCAGGGATCTAGCAGCTAAAACTGGGCTCTTTAAGGCAATTTAGAAGTTGCAGATAATCCACACAAAGAAATAGAAGATAAGGTAGAAGGGCATCTCCGGATCCACAGGGAGCCCGGCTGAGACCGACGTGGGCTGGAAAGGTGGGAAAAAATACAAAATAAAAGCCAAAAGAAACTATTGCTGCAGGAATGAAGTGCCCTTGGCCCAGCAGGAAAGGGAAAGCCCCTCCTGGAGCCAGGGCTGGGAATCAGCAGCTTCAGCCACATGAAAGCAAGAAGCAAATCCCAGGTTGTCTGGCAAGATCAGACAGGGATGCCATCATGGAAAAGGGGGAGAAAAGAAAACCTGACCTTAAAATCACAGATAAAATGTAAAAACAGGTTCTGGTGGTGGTTAACCAAAAAAAAAGTAAACCAAAATAAAAATGATTTTTTAAAAATAATCTCTCAAATGTTGCCTTGTGTGGTCTGGTCCTTCATGGAAATGGTCCCGTCAGTATCTAGGAGAGAAGGAAGGGACAGTGAGGGACATGGGAGGTGCTGCTGTGCCAGGGCAAGGGGACCCACAGGCATTCCAGACTGGTTTGGGCTGGCAGGGACCTTAACGCTCATCTCATTCCATGGGCAGAGAGACCTTCCACTGTTTCAGTTTGCTCCCAGCCCTGTCCAGCCTGGCCTGGGACACTGCCAGGGATCCAGGGGCAGCCACAGCTGCTCTGGGCACCCTGTGCCAGGGCCTGCCCACCCTCACAGCCAGGAATCCCTTCCCAATATCCCATCCAACCCTGCCCTCTTCAGGCACTGGAAGGGACTCTAAGCTCTCTTGGGAGCCTTCCAGCCCTCAAAGCATCTCCGTGGCCTCCCCTGGACCTGCTCCAGCAGCTCCACATCCTTCTGCTGTTGGTGACCCCAGAGCTGGAGGCAGAACTCCAAACCAATGGGGAGCAGGGAGCTCCTGCCCCAGCAGCTCTCACCTGTAATAGTTGGGTTTGAAAGGCCCATTTTTGTTGAGTCCCAGGTATTTGGCCTGATCGTCCGTCAGCTCCGTCAGGTGGGCGTCGAACGAGGGCAGGTGCAAACTGGCCACATACTCATCTGGGAATGGGACAGGGAACAGGGGATCAGGGGTCCACACCCCTCCACAACATGGACAGTGATGACTGAAGGTCTGGCTGGGCAGCACCCCAGATCCTGGGCTGGATGTGCCCCTAAAGGCACAAGGAGGGCAAACTGGCCACCAACTCATCTGGAAATGGGACAGGGATCATGGGATCAGGGGGTCCACACTGCACTACAGCATGGACAGTGATGATTGAAGGTCTGGCTGGGCAGTCATCACTGCCCATATTGTGGTTGGGTGTGGACCCCCTGATCCCATGATCCCTGCCCCATCACCCAAAGCAGGGCTGAGCCCAAGCCTGGGCTGGATGTGCCCCTAAAGGCACAAGGAGGGATGGAAAATCCCAGAGAAGGGAGGCAGCAGGATGTGGGATGCCTCCCACACTGCAGAGCACTAACAAAGATAAAGCAAATAACCCCCACGGATTTTAAGGTCATTGCCTCTGGCTTTCCTGAACTTGCTGTCCCTCTGGAAGTGTTTCCCAGCCCAGGTTTGAGCTCTTCTGACACTGCTGGCACATGGATTCCCCAGGGAAAGTCAGTTCCTTCACTCACCCATCTTCTTTGGCAGCAGGTAAACGTCCTGCTTGTACCGGCCCTCGGGGGCGTTGTAGAGCTCAATCAGAGCCAGAGCCTGTGGAGAGCACAGGGACAAGCTGGGAACAGTCAGGAATGGCCACCAGCTTGGGCAGCACAAAGCTCACAAAGGCAGAGAAGGATCTGGGAGCTTGAGGGACAGTGCAACCACTTCCAACATGCCTTGAGGGACAGGCCCCCACCCCAGGTACCTCCCTGACTGGGTCTGCACAATCCCACTGGAGGGATCAGAGAGCAGGGATGTGATGCCACCCAGCCTGTTTGCAGCATCAGGGCTCAACACCCCAGGGAAAAACACGAGGATGGTTCAGGGTTAGCAGCTCTCCTCTTGAACCACCCAGCTGCTGCAGCACATGGGAATGGAGGGGCTGCTCCTCAGAAACTGGCAGCATTCAAAAACCAGGACAGATTCCTTCAGGACAGATGAAACTGCATCTGAGAGCTGGCTTCCACGGTTGGGAACCAAATCCAGAACACAGGCCTGTTCCCTGTCCCCTTGGGCTGACAGGAGTGAGGGTAAGGGAATTCCCCACTGTCAGCATGGCTGTCCTTCCCCACGAGTGCCAGTGCCACCAGATCCTTTGTATTCCCAGTGCCACCAGACCCTCCACGTTCCCAGTCCCATTAATCCCCTCTGTGTTCCCAGTCCCATCAATCCCCTCAGTGTTCCCAGTCCCATCATTCCCAGTCCCACCAATCCCCTCAGTGTTTCCAGTCCCATCATTCCCTCAGTGTCCCCAGTGTCACCAGCCCCCTCCATGTTCCCACCTCAAACAAAGCCTTGCTTTAAGGTAAGCTCAAACCTGTGCTAGGTGGGCTTAAACACATGCTGGGGAAGCTTAAATCAGTGATAGAGGGGCTTAAACCTGTGCTGGGGAAGGTTAAACCCATGCTAGGGGGTCTCAAACCTGTCCTAGGAGGACTCAAACCTGGCTGGGGGAAGGTTAAACCTGAATTCCAGCCCAGCAGGATGTGTGCCATGAAACCACTCATTTAAAAGCTCTCCCAAAACTCGCTGTACCCAAAACACTGGGTCTGTGCCAGCAATAACTCCAGCCCAGAAAAAAATGGTATTTCTGGCAGTGGTGCCACCTCAAGGACCAATCCCAGCATGTTCCCAGCTCCTTCCAAACCATCCCCACCCCTAGGCTTGTGCAGGGCCCCACCCATTACAGACCTGCGTGGTGGCTGTGATGGAGAGAACAAAGGTGGGAACTGTGGAGCAGCTGAGGTTGAGCAGACGGCCCTGGGAGAAAGCAGGAGTCAGCACAGAGCTGGACATGATCCCAAATCCAAACCAAACAGCTCCCAGGTGGGATTCACCCCCATCCCCTCCCTGCACAGGGACAGAGCACGGTGACCAAAGCATTTCAATTCTGCTCCAGTTTCCATCTTAACCCTTCAAGGCAGGGGAATGTTGTGGTCCCTAGAAAAGCCAGAACAGCTCCTGTGGGAAGAGGAGCCACCCAGCACCTGGGAAACCCTGCACAGATGGGGTTTGCCTGAGTGGGATGAGCCCCAGCTCAGAAGAACGGAGTCACACGGCACCTCTGGGGCTGCATGTGAGATATGACACACCCGCCCTCAAGAAAGGAAAACAAAAAATAAATTAAACAAATAAAAAACCCCTTTTTTGAGCCCTGAAGCTTCTCCCAGCACTTTTCCACCTGGCTAACTCTGACAGAGGCCCAAAGCACCATGGCCCAGCTCCCCACACACCTCGGCCAGCAGCACCACCCGCTTCCCGTCGGGCCAGATGACGTGATCCACTTGGGAGCGCACCCGCTCCCAGGTCAGCTCGGGCATCCGCAGGCTGGTCTGCAACGGGAGGGCACAGGCTGGGTCAGGGCAGGGGCTGGCAGATGGGCACCAAGGAGAGGCACAGGCTGGGTCAGGGCAGGAGCCAGCAGGTGGGCACAGCCAGGCGTGCCAGTAGGAGGGCACAGCCAGAGGAGAAGCACAGGCTGGGTCGCGGGAGGAGCTGGCAGGTGGGCACAGCCAGAGGAGCTAGCAGGCAGGTGGGCACAGCCAGAAGTGTTGGCAGGCAGACACAGCCAGGGGTGCTGGGCTGGCAGGAGGGCATAGCCAGAGGAGCCAGCAGACAGAAAGGCATACCAGGGGTGCCAGCAGGCAGGCACAGTCAGAGGGGCTGGCAGGAGGGCACAGCCAGAGAAGCTGGCAGATGGGGACAGCCAGGGGTGGCAGCAGGCAGGCACAGCTAGGGGTGGCAGCACTCCCAGCCCCAGGGGAGTGGCAGCACTCACAGCCAGGGATGCCAGCAGGCAGGCAGGCACAGCCAGGGGTGCCAGCACTCACAGCCCCAGGGGTGTAGCAGCAGAGGGGCACTGCCAGGGGTGCCAGCACCCACTCACCACGTCAATCTCGGTGTTGGAGTGGCCCATGTTGCACACGATGCAGCTGTTCTTCATCCGGTCCAGGTGCTCCCTGGTCACCACGTTCTTGTTCCCTGCAGGCACAGAGGGCACAGCTGACCCCACAGCAGTGGGAACACAAACCCTCTGGTTTCTCCTTCCTGAACTCGAGTCAGAGAAGCTCAGCTTGGGGCAACATCAGAGGAGCTTCCCTGGGGCTGAACCCTTGTGGCTGTGACAGAGAACATGTGGGACAAGAGCTGCCATGCAACATCCCGAGCTGGAAGGGACCCACAAGGGCCATCAAGTCCAACTCCTGGACTCTGCATAAGACACTCCCAACAATCCCACCCTGTGCCTGAGAGCATTGCCCAAACACCCCTTAAGCTCTGGCAGGACTGGAACCATGACAATTCCCTGGGGAATCTGTTCAGTGCCCAAATCTTTGATCTTTGCTCCTATGAATTAAACAGGCTCTAGGAGATCCCAAAATACCCTGAGAACACGTGGCCAAGACGTCCCTCTGCTCTAGGCCAGCACTGTGGTCATAGAGCAAATCAGGGTGAAAAGCCCCTGGCAGAGCTCAGCTGTTGTGGAAAATCAGGAGCACAGAGCAGTGAAATGTCCTCAATCCCCAGCTCCCTTGAGACCCCACTGGGAATGGTGCTGCTCAGCCTGCTCCAGCCTGGGCTATCCCTACCTGTGCAGGTGATGACGACATCCACCTGACGGATTACTTCACTCAGCTTCACCACCCGAAATCCATCCATGCTGGCAAGAAAAGGGGAATAGGGACCACACTGAGGAGGAGAAGCTTGTTCCTTCTCTGCCCCAGGCCATGAGGGATCTCAGCAGCTCCAAACTGCTCCGGCAGCAGCCCAGGCTCTCCTCTACCCCTCCAGGGACACCAGTGCCATGAGGGAAGGCTGTGCAATACTTGGGGTGTCCAACCCACTCTCGGAAATGTTGGATGAGCCAGGAATGTGTGGCATAGAGGCCTGAGCCTCCCCAAACCAGCCAGTGAACACTTTCTGCCCAGTATCCCATCCCTTGAAAGCAGCCCAAGCCCTTTCCTATCACACCCCAACAAGGTACATGCTCTCCAAAATGGACCACAGATTCCTGGCTTCACTCCAGCCTCTGGCAGGGTTTGGAAGAGCAGAGAGAGAGAGAGAGACACTCCTGAGCAGATGGGAGCACCTTACCAGGCCTGGAGAGCGCAGATGGGGTCGATCTCAGTGACGTACACGATGGCTCCCAGGGCTTTCAGGGCAGCACAGCATCCCTTGCCAACCTGCCAAGGCAGAAGGAGCAGTGAGGCAGGACACAGACACACCAGAGCCACAGTCCCTGCCCTAAACAGGCTGGAAGATCCTCATCTTACCCACTTGCCCGATGCCAGGAGCAGCTCAGGATGTACCTGGTGAGTGGCACAACTGCCACAAGCCCAGCTCCCCCTCCAAGGCCAGCAGCCTCCCCCTGCCAGAGGGCAGGATTAGACAGGATATTGGAAAGGAATTTCCCCCTGTGGGAGTGGTGAGGCTCTGGTACAGGTTGTCCAGAGAAGCTGTGGCTGCCCCAGCTGGAAATATCCATGGCAGGAGCTTTCCCAACCCAACTCTCAGCTTGTGCAGCCCTAGCATTGCAGGAGCCTTTCTCCAAGCAGCCCAGAGGAGCACACACTGCCCCTTGCCTTGAAGCTGCAGGATTTCAGAACCACCCTGCACTCCTCAGGGGGCACATCCTCCATTCCATGCTGCCCACATCAGCACAGAGTTCCTGCAACAGCTTCTTGGACTTTCTCCCTCTCCTCAGTGGAAAATAAAAACAGAGTCCAGCTCTCCACATCACCCACAGCAACACCTGGCTCTGCTGCACAGACACTACTCAGCCCCATTTTGTGGACCAAAAACATTTCCAGAGCAACCCTCACTCATCACCCAGCTCCAACCTCAGGTCTACTGAACACACCCAGGCAGGGCCAGCTGGGACTCAACTCACACCCACAGGGGAAACCATTCATGGTGAACAGGCTGGGGGAGCTAAAGGTGCTCAGCCTGCAGGAGAGCAGGCTGCAGCAAAACCTTAGAGCCCCTTCCTGTGCCTAAAGGGGCTTCTGGAGAGCTGAAGAGGGACTTTGGACAAGGGACAGAGTGACAGGGCAAGGAGGAATGGCTTCCCACTGCCAGAGGGCAGGGTTAGATGGGAGAGTGGGAAGGAATTCTTCCCTGTGAGGGTGGTGAGGATGGAATGTTTCAGAAAAGCTGTGGCTCATCATCCCTGAAGATTTCAAGGTTGAGTGGGGCTTGGAGCAACCTAGTCTAGTGGAAAGGTGTCCCTGTCCATGGCAGAGGGTGGAACTGGATGAGTCTGAAGTTCCCTTCCAGCCCAAATATGGATTGAAGTCTGGGATTCTCCGACTCTCCTGTTGTGAAGAAGAGTCAGAGAATCTGACTGAAGTCCAGTAAAGCTTAGCACAGACCCTGGAGACAGTAACACCCAGCACAACTCCTGCCTGGAGAATGAGGCACCAGCCCAGAGCACTCACTGAGAGCCAGCACAGTCCCTTGGTCAAGCAAAGCTGGGCTCCACTGGTGCCTAAATGAATTAGGGAGCAAATTCCTGCTGGGAAGAGCCTTTGCAGCTCCTGCCAGTCCCTGCACAGTGCTGGAAGATAAACACCCACACAACGAGCACAGATGGAGGGAAGGTGGCAGCTCCCAGCTCCAGCTCTTCCAGGGTAGAATCAGTTACAAGTTCATGATACAATTTCCCTCTGCCAGAGTATTATTCCCAGGGAGAAGCTGCCTGCCCTGCTCAGTGACAGCCAGGCTGGATGCTGAACCTGGGCCAGGGAGAGCAGATGGGAGCACCTGTGGGTAGTTATAACCCAGGCCAGTGTTCCCAGCAACTGTCAGCTGTGCAGCCCAGTTCATCTGCAGCAAACTGGGAAATCTGATCCCTGATCTCCATCCTCCCAGCAAGATTTCCCTGGTTATTGCTCACCAGTTTGGATCTACTCCTTATAGCAAGGCCAAGTGGCCTTTGCACAGGGAATTGCAGGATGCTGAGCTTGGGGGAGGCCAGCCCAGCTCACAGAACTCACCTCCCCATAACCACAAACCACCACTTGCTTCCCTCCAAACATCACATCCGTGGTCCTCTTCAGGCTGGGGGACAGAGAGAGACCTGTGTTGGGATCAGTCAAGCCCAAAACCAGGTCAAAGCAGCAGAGCCTGATCTCTGCTTAAGAAGCAGCCAGAGCCAAACCCGCCCTGTGGAAGTCTCAGTGGGGAAAAGAGCAGGACTCACCCATCCAGGATGGATTCCCGGCAGCAATAGAGGTTATCAAACTTCTGCTTGGTGACAGAGTCATTCACATTCATGGCTGGGACACAGAGCTTCCCAGCCTTGGAGAGCTGGTAGAGCCTGGGAGAGGGCAGAGGCAGGTCAGAGCAGACAGCAGCAACTCCCTGAGATCTCTGGCTCTGCCTTCCCAAAGCTCCCACCTGTGCACTCCTGTCACACTCTCCTCCACAATCCCTCGGATCTTCTTGAACACGCTGGGGTATTTCTTATAAACCCAATGGGTCAGGTCCCCACCATCATCCAGGATCTGGAACAGGCAAGGAAGAACAGGGAGCAGTCAGACCTCCCACTGGGAAATGCACTGGCTGAGGACAGGATGGGGAAAATGATTTGGAGAAGCATCTTCAGGCACTGCTGGAGGGGCTGTCTGGGCAGAACCTGGGGACCAGGACTCCCAGGTTCCCCTGCAACTCAGGGTCTCCTCTAAAACACTGAGATTCCTTAATTCTGTGTGGAGCTGCTGGATCCTGACAGGATTTCCAGCCTGGGAAGGTGACCACAGGCAGCACTAACTAACCAGGCTGAGCTCAGGACACCACACTGATGCTCTAAAAGCAATCAGGAGAGGACAGGCAGGCTGTGGGAGGTGTCACGGCCCATGGACACATCACTGGTGACTACAGACCATGCACTAAGGAGGGACATCAGCTTTGACAAGGGAAAGGTCCCCACTATGAGGGGTCCCCTCCCAGCTTTGGGAGGGAGAGGGCAGAGGGCAGAGAGAGGAGTGGCTGGGACAGCTCCTGCAGGGGAAACAGGTCCCATTTCTTGGCTCATGGCAGCTCCACCAGCTGTTCCCTTGCCATTGGGATGTGCCAACTCAGGACATCATCTCTGCAGCTCCTGACATTCCCATGGCTGTTCCCAGCTGCTCTTCAAGAGCCCCCCTTTAATAGAGGTCAAATTCAAGGTCAGCAGGCTCCCAGGAACGGCCCCAGGGTGGAAGGGAGGAAGAGGAAGGGCAGGAGAAGGCTCCTTACCATGTTGGCCTGCCAGCCATCTACATTAACACAGCGGTCAATGCACCACCAGAAATCATCCTCTGACTCCCCTTTCCAGGCAAACACAGCAACACCTGCAAGAACAGGAACATCCCTGCAGTTTGCTGGGCTTGGCAGAGCTCTCTCCTGCTTGGCCAGCTCCAGAAACACACGGACACAAGAGCCAGGGGGGCATGCAGAGATCACACCCCTGCCCACAGCAGGATCAGAGCTGCCCATCCCTCCCTAGAAGATATTCCCCCAAAATACTAATTTCCTCAAACAGAAATACAAAATTTGAAAATAACAGCCAAAAAAACAAAGAAATAATAATAAATAATAAGAAAACAATACTACTAACTAATAATAACTTGTAGTAGTTATTATTGTAGTAATACTACTATTAGCACTAATTAATGTAGTAATACTACTATCAGCTGTTTAATTCTAAACAGTATAAAACTAAATAAAATAGAATTAAAATATGGTTAAATACAAAATGAAAATATATTTTATGTTTTTATAATTTTGTATTTATTCCTATTTATTTTGTTTATATTTTATTTATACTCTATATAAAATATATCTATCAGCCCTTTATAAATATCTATACATGTATTCACATTATATTGTATATTTTATGTGAATGTATATATTTATCTATTATATATATAATTAAAATATTTATTTATATTTTTTTTTGTATAAATATTTCTAAATATAAATTATAATTTTATAATTTCAGTATAATTATTATTATACAT